ACTGAGCCACCCAGGTGCCCCTATCTAAATTGTTCTTAAAAAAATTGTTTTTCTAGGGGTGCCTGGGTGGCTCAGTTGGTTAAGCGTCTGCCTTCAGCTAGGGTCATGATCCCAAAGTCCTGGGATCAAGCCCCACATCTGGCTCCCTGCTCAGCTGGGAGCCTGCTTCTCCCTCTTCCTCTGCCTGACGCTCCCCCTGCTGTGCTTGCTCTCTCTCTCTCTCTCTCTCTGAAATAAATAAATAAAATCTTTAAAAAAAATTTGTTTTTCTAGAGTTCTTGTGAGTGGTAAGAGAGCACATGAATTCATGTTAATTAGATGTTCAGAATCGATTATAGCTAGTTTGTGTTTGGGGGATACCCAAATTAAGGAGTCAGGAAATGCTTTCTTGATTACATTACATTGAGTTACATTCACATGTAACTCCCAGTTCATAATCTCAGAGCATGGCTCTTTGGGCACTAAGGCAAAGTAGTAGTAAGGTAAGTTTTAGACAGTGTATGCCTGCCAGCTGGATAGGTATAGATCTCTGATTAATCCACTACAGAAGTTTTGTCAGAGTTCAGCTGCACATCCTGAAAGTGTTCAGAAGCTGAGTGAATCCATATGACCTTTGTATTTAAAAAAAATAGATAATACAAGTACATGACAAAGTTTTTTTAAGTGCAAAATGGTATACAGTGTATATTCAATGAGAGGTCCTCCCTTCACCTGACCTCATTTGTGCTCCCCCTCTCCTTCTCTTTGGGGACGGCATTACCTGTTTTTGGCATGTCCCTGGGGGGTAGTCCATACATGTACATGTGTGTATTCTCTCTTCTTTTCTTCTTCTTCTTTTTTTTTTTTTTTAAGATTTTATTATTTTATTTGACAGAGATCACAAGTAGGCAGAGAGGCAGGCAGAGAGAGAGGGGGAAGCAGGCTCCCTGCTGAGCAGAGAGCCCAATGCGGGGCTCATTCCCAGGACTCTGGGATCATGACCTGAGCTAAGGGCAGAGGCTTTAACCCACTGAGCCACCCAGGGGCCCCTCTTCTTTTCTTCTTGACATAAATGATTGTATACCATTCTATATATTGCGTTTTTTACTTGAAAACATGTCTTGGAGATTGTTTCCTATCAGTACATTTAGATTTGAGTTATTATAATAGCTGCATGGCGTTCCATCCTTTATATGTACATAGTTTATTTAACCAGTCCTCGACTAATATCTAGGTTGTTTCTAGTCTTTTGATACTACAAACAGTGTTACAGGAAATTTCCTTGCACATACTTTCCTTGTGCGAGTATTTCTTTAAGATCCGTTGTTAGAATTGCTGGGTCAAAGGCATTTTAGACAGAAAGTGTAATTTTATTAGCCTTTTTATCTTTTTTTTTTTTTTAAAGATTTTGTTTATTTATTTGACAGAGATCACAAGTAGACAGAGAAGCAGGCAGAGAGAGAGAAGGAAGCAGGCTCCCTGCTGAGCACAGAGCCTGATTGGGGGCTTGATCCCAGGACCCTGAGATCATGACCTGAGCTGAAGGCAGCGGCTTCAGCTGCCACCCAGGCGCCCCTAGCCTTTTTATCTTGTAAAACTTTTTTTTTATTTTTTAAGTAATCTCTTCACCCAGTGTGGGACTTGAACTTGAACTCATGACCCTGAGATCAAGAGTCACATGCCTTATTGACTGAGCCAGCCAGGCACCCCACTTGTAAATCATTCTTTTAACATTTTTTGGAGGGGAAGAGGGAGGAAGGGCAGAGGGAAAGGGAGAATCTTTTTTTTTTTTTTTTTTTTAAAGATTTTATTTACTTATTTGACAGAGAGAGAAAGAGATCACAGGTAGGCAGAGGGGCAGGCAGAGAGAGAGGGGGAAGCAGGCTCCCCGCTGAGCAGAGGGCCCAACGTGGGGCTCGATCCCAGGACCCTGAGATCATGACCTGAGTCAAAGGCAGAGGCTTAGCCCACTGAGCCACCCAGATGCCCCAGGAAAGGAAGAATCTTAAGCAGGCTTCGCTCTAGGCGATGTGGGGCTCCATCTTACAACCCTGAGATGTGATCTGAGCTGAAATCAAGAGTCAGACACTTAACTGACTGAGTCACTGAGGCACCCCCATTCTTAACAACTTTTGATAAGGAATGGGATAAAATACTTATATTACATTTAACCAGGAGTGCCATTTTTTCTGTTGTTGATTGCTGTTTGACAGGAGGAAACTTACTGGATTCAGAAGAAGGTGACACTTTATGGTTGAGGGTGAGCTAGAATATAAAAGCTATCTTAATCATAATTATCAAAGTATTGCTGGATTGATTCTGGTTGCTTGTATTTCATCTTGATCTTTGCATTAATGTAGTTAAATGACTAAAACAATCTGGTGGTATGGTCCTAGAGAGCAAAACTGTTTCAGTACTAACTGCTTCTGTAGGGTCTTAAATTTTCATGGAAATTAAATACTGTGTAGCTCACCAAGTCTAACTGACCCATTCTGTTTCCTGTCCTAGTTATATTCTGTAGACAGTGGAAGCAATAGAGCTTATAGTTTGTTGGCTAAAAGTTTTGATGAGAAAGTTGGAATCTAGAATTGTTTTTTCTTTCTTGGAATAATGCATTCCTGAGATTTCAGAGAGAAGACCAGACTTCTTGTATTTATTAGCTGTGTATGTAATTAATATATAAATAATCCCTTTGGATACTAATAACAATTGTTTAAAATTTTATCATGAAGTATTTCTGCCTTAAATTATTTAACTATCACTTTTTTTTTTTTAAGGTTTTATGTTTTTGAGAGAGAGTGAGAGCATGAGCACAAGTTGGGGGAGGCAGAGGGAGAAGCAGACTCCCACTGAGCAGGGAGCCTGATGAGGAACTCGATCCCAGGACCCTGAGATCATGACCCAAGCCAAAGTCAGAGCTTAACCAACTCACCCATCCAGATGGCCCTAACTATCACCTTTATTTGTTTGTTTTTGAAATATCACTTAAAGGCTTATTTTGGGAAGGAAATTTCCTCAGATGCACTTCTGTGACTTACACAGGATGTCAATCATCACTACAAAAGTAATCTAATGTAATCAGTTCTTGGTGAGTAGGGCCACATTTGAAGAAACTTGAGTTATGCTTAATATAATTAATAATAATAAAATATTAATAACATTATTTTTAATAATAATGTTCTCAGAGTTGATCAAAGTATAAAGAAGGGCTCTTTGCCTCATATGAAGTGGCCCAAGACCTTTTCCTATAAGAGTTAGAAAGTCCCAGAGCTGATTTGTGATATCTAATTTATTAAGGGTTAGGATAACCTGATAACCTGGCTTCTTAGAAGTATATGTAAAATAAAAGTATAAGGGCTCTGGATGGGGCCAAGGGGCTGAGCTGTGATTGGAATCCAAGTGTCTCCTGCTGTTCTCAGTGGTCAGATACATAACTTCCATTCAGATGAGGTGCTAAAGAGGGTTTGAATGTAGACAGTGTTACTGGCATCTACTGGCTGGTGTTTAGTTATCTGGTGCCTTAAAACCTGATAGGAGGGACATGGCTAGTTGTCCACTGTAACAAAACACTTGATATTGGTGATTCTAGAGATAAAAGATTATGTTTTCCAACTTAGCAAGTGGTAGTATGTCTTATATCTGGGAAGATGGATGAAACCTAGAATGCTTCCACTCTGATAATTCTTTAAAACAGATACAGCATATATTGGTAGATTATCGAAAAAAAAAAGTAGAAGAATGTTCAGATAGGAACAAGGTACAAGAGAGGAAAAGACTTTCTACAGTAAAAGATAACTAAGGAGAGGCTTTTTAACTTTTTCAGTAGGATCATTCTTATTGGGATTTAAGTGGGGGTTGGGGCTAACAATAAATATTACCTCATCTTTCTCCTTCTAAATTTTTTTTTTTAAAGATTTTATTTATTTAACAGAGAGAGAGAGATCACAAGTAGGCAGGGAGGCAGGCTGAGAGAGAGAGGGAAGCAGGCTCTCTGCTGAGCTGAAACCCTGATGCAGGGCTCAATCCCAGGACCCTGAGACCATGACCTGAGCCAAAGGCAGAGGCTTAACCCACTGAGCCACCCAGGTGCCCCTCTCCTTGTAAATTTGAAATCAACTGAGAAGTAGATTCCTTAATCAGTAAATTGAAATGTAAAAAAAAATCAGCCTTATTGGTGGGGTTGACTGGAGAATATTCCATAGATCTGTGGCCAAATGGGCTTATGACCATCCCACCCCCCCCCCAAGTTAAACTTGACCTAACAGGTTGATAGACCTCTGGGACAACCGCTCATCCTTAACTCCCTTCCACAATAGAGAGAAGTGCTGGATGGCATCCTGCAGACTATGCCTAGTCCTCCTGGTGCCTCATCTCTCCTTGAGTGCCCAGGAAGGGATAGCCATAGTGATTAGTTTCTTTTTTCGGTTGTTGAAGGGTTAGGGAATGACAAACATTATAGGGGAAGTCTCTCTCTCCTCAGGGAAATATGAGGCTGGGAAATAATGGCCCTCCACGATAGTATGGTGGTGAGGTGCTTTTCTCCCCCCTTTCCAGAAAATTGAATCGTGAGCTTAAATTGTTTCTTAGATCAAAAAGAGTTAAAAAAAAAAAAAAAAGTTATAGATCTTTGTCCTTAAAAACTTGTAAAAGTTGGGAGAAATCAGTCTGGTTTTAAATAAATATTTGAGTTAATCTGGAAGCAAAGGCAGAGACTGGGGGTTTGCTTAGCAGCCTCTTTGTGGATGCTTATTAAAAAGTATTTGCCTACTTCCCTGAAATACCTTTTGCTTTAGTTTGGTTTTAAAGTCTTGCTAGCAAAAAGTGATTAAGACTCTTTAATTTTTATTAACTACCTCTTAATAATGCTCTGAAAGCTGTAATTATTTTTAAGATTCTCTAATTTAGAAGAAGAATTATTCTTTTCATCTAGTATGGGGTCAGTTGTACAGAGTAACAAAATGTTGTTTCTGAACTTATTATTTTGTTCTTGCTCATTCCTGTCTCCCTTTTCTCCTTTCCAGAATCCTATTCTAAGCGCTTGGACACTCAGGCATCTACCATGGTGTTGGGTCCTGAACAGAAGATGCCAGATGGTAATTTATAGCTGTGTTATTGTCTGATTTTTACTTGGAATTTGGTTTAAATCAGTAATAGAAATTGACCATATTTTCCTTCTTGTCATCTATCACAACAAAAATTGTCCTTAACTCCTCTTCCCTAGCTAACAGTATCATCATAGAGGCCTGCTCCAATCAGGTCCAATCCAGTCACCATCCAGTAATTAAGCTGTAAATGATAACCATGAAGATCTGTCTCCTATCTTATTTCCGATTCTGAGATGAGCCAAGATTAGCTGCAAGTTTGGTTTCTGTAGCAGTAATGCTTCCAAGGGCAAGTGTTAATCACAGGCCTGGCATAAAAACCTTTAGAATGCTTTGGCTCTTCACAGCACTGGGATATTTACATTAAGGAACAGTAAAATACCGAGCAAACGCATTTAACTGTGTAATCCATTAGAGGGAGTTTTCTAATTCTTTCTAATCTAAATTTCCCCTTTAGAATTTTTATTCCTTTTCTTTAAATTTCCTCATAATTCAGGGCCACTTCACAGAAGTGGGTCAGCTCCCTATAGAAAGAAGCTTTTGTTTTTCTAATTGCATGTTACAAGGATTTCTTGGAAACCCTGACATTAGAGCTCTTTGGTTTGAAATTGCCATTTGATGGCTACCAAACTCGGCTTTGTATCCTTCTGGCAGATTAGCCCTTTTCTCCCAGACCCTTCCCTTACCAGCATTTAAGATTACCGGCAAAATGCAGGACCTGGAAATGCTGATAAGCAGTCTAAGATGAGCCCTCCTGTCACGAGGGTGCCCACACCCCATGACCTGAAGCTCTTCATGGCAGGCCTTAGTCAGGAGGCAAAGGGTTCCTGTTTGGTGGTTTCCCTGCAGCTTCAGATTTTAACCTAACTGTGGCAGGATTTTTCAACTTCCACATTTTTTGAGAAGCCTGACAGAGGTGTAAAGTCCGAGGACCATTCTTTGGCTCAGTCCAAATAATGGTTGGGGGTGGGGGCGGAGTAGGGTAGTAACTAGATGGACCTAGTTCTGTTCTTCTGAAAGTTAGGATTTTAGGTTATGAGGGTGGCTAGAGAGGGAATGTTATATTTTGAGCCCTAGGCATCAGTGTATTTAGAAGAAAATGAGATGATACTAAAAGTTGCCAACCGGGAATGCAGAAGTGTGAAAGTAGGAAAACCATTGTGAGATGAGCGTTAAAACTGATCCAGAGCAAAGTGACTTGGGAGGAGGGGTGAGAGGGAGCCTTTTTTTACCATAAGCTTTTTTTAGTTTCCTGAATTTCCATCCATGTGAATGTACTGCCTAATAAAGAATTGTAATTATTCTATATTAAAAATATAGATGAAAATAAAATATTGGAAATAAATTGAGTAGAGCCAGGTTGGTCTTGTGCATTTAGGTGTTAAAAAGATTTGATTTAAAAGTCACTAAGGAGGGGCGCCTGGGTGGCTCAGTGGGTTAAAGCCTCTGCCTTCGGCTCAGGTCATGATCCCAGGGTCCTGGGATCGAGCCCCGCAGCGGGCTCTCTGCTCAGTGGGGAGCCTGCTTCCACCTCTCTCTGTCTGCCTGCCTCTTAGCCTACTTGTGATCTCTGTCTGTCAAATAAATAAATAAAATCTTTAAAAATAAATAAATAAATAAAAGTTACTAAGGAGGGGCGTCTGGGTGGCTTAGATGGTTAAGCGTTTGCCTTCAGCTCAGATCATGATCCCAAGGTCCTGGGATGGAGCCCCACATCGGTCTCCCTGCTCAGCAGAGTCTGCTTTCCCCTCTGCCTCTCTCCCCTGCTCATGCTCTCTCCCTCCCTCTCTCTCAAATGAATAAATAGAATCTTTAAAAAAAAAAAAAAAGTTACTAAGGACAAGTTGTTAGTGTATTTTGTTCATTTTTATTTCTTCTCAAATCTGTTAATTTAGATGATGTTTCTGGAGACCATGGGAACTCTCCCAGTCTTGGTGCACTCAACCCTGCCTATAGTACCTCATCTCTCCCCCAGTCCGAGGAGCACTCACAGGAGCCCTTTACCACCTACTTTGATGAGAAGATCACCATTCCTGAAGAAGAGGTTAGTGACAAATCCTTGGAGGAAAACGTTATTTAGGGAAGACTTAGGAGTGGAAAGTCTGCTGAACAACTCAAGAGCAACAGCCTCAGATCTAATTTTGCAAGCAAGTCTCTGAAGACAACTTTTGTAATCAGAGTAACTGTTTACAGTAACTTTCAGGAAAACGAGGACCTTGAGAACAGTTGCCACATTGTACTAGTGATTATTTTTTGATCTAGAAAGTATTAATTTCATGTGTTTTACAGTAGCTTTTGTCCCTTTTGAGTGGTGGTTGGGCACAAGGGTACTGATACTCATACTCAGGTTTTAGAATGAGAGGCTGGTGGATGGAAAGAGCAGGTAAGGGAAGGGCTCTTATTTGGACAGAGAAGTGGCCAGGTTATTGATAAGAAGTGGGTAAGATGAAGTTGAAGTTGGGCACACCCAGTATGCAGAAGCTGATATTGTTGCTTTATATGTGAAAAAAAATAACAGATAAATTAGATCAGTAGTTTGGAGGTGATAATTAGTTTGATCTCTTCCTCTCTTGTATAGTATTCTTGTTTTAGCTATCGTAAGCTCTGGGCTTTCACGGGACCTGGCTTTCTTATGAGCATTGCCTACTTGGATCCAGGAAACATCGAATCTGATTTGCAGTCTGGAGCAGTGGCTGGATTTAAGGTGAACATCTAGTCCTCTCCCTGCCCCTGTTAAACACATGCAGTCCACCCTCACATCCTTTCCCCCTTCTCTGCCTGTTGAGTATCATCAGCCTTGGCAGTTACATGCAACTTCATTGGCAGTGACACTTGGGTGAAAAGTACCTTGCCATCTGGTTTTTAAAATTTATTTTATACACATAGTTAGCTTTAACTTTATTTTCTTTTATCCAGTCCACATAGTTTGCCTTGAACAAGGGAGAAATTAAGGCTCAGAAAGGTGTGAGATGACCTAGCAGGTTATGTACAGAACCTGATACAGATCTCCAGGTCATTTGATTCTTGAGCTGGGCTCTTTCCTGAATGTATTTCTCATTCACATTTCCAAACAACGAAATGAAAACACTCCAGTTGTATAATGAGTGTTATGATGGGATTTTTTTCTTCTGTAGTTGCTCTGGGTTCTTCTGTTGGCCACCGTCGTGGGGCTGCTGCTCCAGCGCCTTGCAGCCAGACTGGGCGTGGTCACGGGGTTGCATCTTGCTGAAGTGTGTCATCGTCAGTATCCCAAGGTGAGCCACGTAGTGTCCTGTTTGTCACTTATCTCAGAGAAACGTGTGTGTCTGACAGAATGTGCTGGCCTCGTGGTATATACTGAAATAGTGGAGGACTTAGTGGTCAGGGGCCTGCGGATCAATTCCAGGGGAAATTCTGTAGCCTCTCTTGCTGCCAACCCATAGTTCTGTACTTCTTTAGAATTTAAATTGAGATTCATTTTTTGCCAGAAAGCTTCCTTGGAAAAATTCAGTTAGAGTAAATATTTACCATTCATTCCGCCTTCTGATATCTAGCAGTGCCCAGCCCATGGAGGGGTGGGAGTGCTTTAAGCACTTACATTCATACATCCATATTCCTAAATCATGTATTTTCCTTTTTGTTTGACTTTGTCATCAATTTGAAAAATAAGATATTCTCTTTTACTATAAACTCTATGTGGCAGGATCTTTGGATTTGTTAAGAATTATTTTTCAATTGACCCTCACCCTGGAAGTTACACAGTCTTCCACAGCTCTTTTCTGGACCTTTTGGGCCTTTTCTTACTGCTGCCTAAGGCAGGAATGGACCCTATGTCTGGAAGATAGTTTTAACTTAGCTTCATCTTTAGATAAGATAATGATATGCCTCTGGTTTGTCCTAAATGTATAATCTCCTTTTCTGACTCTGAAAAACTATCCTTATCTGCTTTTTCCCCCTTATATGCTTTTCAGAAAAAACCTTAGTAATTTTATAATTTCTTGTAGTTTCTCTTCACGTATATTAACAGTTCTTTTTTGTGACCATTTTTTGTGTAGTAGATACCTGAAGCTATTGTGTTGGACTTGTTTTTTGTTTTTGTTTTTGTTTTGTTTTGTTTTGGGTTTTTTTGTTTTGTTTTGTTTTGTTTTCTCTTGGCCTCTGTGAGCCAATATTAACTACATTTGTCTTTCAGCTGGATCGTTTGACCAGATTAGGTTCCCGTTTTGTTATATGCCACTCTATTTCAACCAGTTTGCTTGGAGTCCCTTTACATATTTGTCCTTTTTCACTTGCTTATATATTATCATTACATTAAGGTTGACCCCAGCCTCTTCATTTTTATTTTATCTCTTCAGCCATGGTCAGGATAATTGTCTTCTGTGGTCATTTTCTCTTCTCTCCTGAACAATATTTTGACCAGGTTAGCATCCTCATTTTCCCCGAAAACTTTTGGATTGTTTTTAGTCAGGAAATTAAGTGGAAATTAATGATCGGAAATTCCGTTCCTCTATTGAGTGGAAGGTAAGAGAAAAGATTAGGATCAGCTGCTGTCCTGACCTTGGCTCATCGGCATCACCACATAGAAGCACCCTTGCTTTCTCCAGCTTGGGTACAGTGCAGTGACAGGCCAGGTGGAGCCCAGTCCTGGTACTTCATCTCTAGACTGAAGCCTTATGGAGGACTGTTGATGGGTCAGTGCCAAATGTGAATTCCAAACTATAGGGAAAGTTCTTAAAAATGATTAATTAGAACTATGTCTTTCTGCTGTTTGGTATTTAGGTCCCACGAATTATCCTATGGCTGATGGTGGAGTTGGCTATCATTGGCTCAGATATGCAAGAAGTTATTGGCTCAGCCATTGCCATCAATCTCCTGTCTGTAGGAAGGTGAGGGGGTTTTCCTCCAGAAAGTAATATTTTGCTAGATTTCAAAGCAAATGTAAAAACAAAAACCAAATTAATTTTCAGTTTTCAAGATTCAATTCAAGTATTATTTTTTCTGTGGAACCTTTCTGGAGCCACCTTCTCTCCCAGCAGCTGTAGGCTCTGTATGTTCATGTTCTCATGTTGGGTTATGCATCCCTCTGTTATACAGTGTGTGACGTGTGTTACAATTATGTATTTGTATATCAGTTTGTCCCACTAGACAGTGAGCTCCTTGAGGGGTAAGACCCATACTTTTCAGCTTTGCATCCTAAATGTCTGACTTAGTAGACAATGTTTGAATGAATATAGTTTGTTCATTTGGTGCTGTGATCTTAAATTACCCAAGGCCTGACCTCCTGCCACTGTCCCCTCTCCCACGAGTCCTTACTTCTCCAAGTGTTGTGTATCTGGAGAGCTGTTGGAAAGAAAGTGGTTTTCAACGTTTCCTTTCTTCCCATTAATCTCCATTTCTTGTCTCTGACCTAGGGTTCCTCTGTGGGGTGGAGTTCTCATCACCATTGCAGATACCTTTGTATTTCTCTTTTTGGACAAATATGGTAAGGAGACTGGGAATGGAGGGGTCAGTGAAAGGAGCTACTTCCCTTCTTCTGGCTGGTGGAGAAGTCTGCCTTCTGTGAGCTCACTGTTGCATTTTCCCCTTTAGGCTTACGGAAGCTAGAAGCGTTTTTTGGCTTTCTTATCACCATTATGGCCCTCACATTTGGATATGAGGCAAGTGTTGCAGGCTATTCATTACTTTTTATAACCAAAAGAGAGGGGATTGTTTTGCCTTTTCTTTTAAGACTGTATAATGCTAGGATGGTTTAATTTTATCACATGTGTTAACAAAAAGCCAGTTCAGCCTAGGCCAATTTTGAAGAAATATGATCTGTAGAGACTAGTCTCTGGGAAGGCCTGCTGGTCTCCTAGGTCAAAAATGACCAGATTTTGTAGGACTTTCTAGACTAGACTCCCTGGTTCCAAGTTGGCTAGCCCCATTACAGAGCAGCCTTACAGAGAGTTAGGGAGGGAGTTGCAGCATTATTCCTGGCTTTTAACTCGGAGGGGTTCTGGTTTTGCTTATCCTGGCTTATACCACCTGCAGCTTGAACTTTCTGTGTATTGCAAGTTAATGAACTATAAAGGATATAGTGGGTGTTTCCTGGTTTGTTCCCCAACCCGGATACTCCTAAGAATCAGTACCATTATAGGCAGTAATGGTAGCTTTCTTTCTTTTTTAAGATTTTATTTATTTATTTGACAGCACAAGCAGGGGGAGTGGGAGAGAGAGATGCAGGCTCCCCGCTGAGCAGGGAGCCCCATGTGGGGTTCAATCCCAGGACCCTGGGATCATGACCTGAACTGAAGGCCACTCAGGCGCCCTGATAGTAGTTTTCTATGTCCAATTGTTATAAACTCATTTTTGCTCATTGGCCTGGCTGAACTTCTAAAAGTACATCTAATCTGGGATGCCTGGGTGGCTGGTTCAGTTGGTTAAGTGTCTTGACTTGATTTTTTGGGTTGGGTCACAATCTCAGGGATCTGATTCTCTCTTCCACTGCCCCCCCCTCTGCTCACACTCTCTATTTCTAAAAGAAATAAAATCTTTTTTAAAAAGCACATCTAGAGGTGCCTGGGTGGCTCAGTGGGTTAAAGCCTCTGCTTTCGGCTCAGGTCATGATCCCGGGGTCCTGGGATCGAGCCCCGCATCGGGCTCTCTGCTCGGCGGGGAGCCTGCTTCCTCCTCTCTCTCTGCCTGCCTCTCTGCCTACTTGTGATCTCTGTCTGTCAAATAAGTAAAAAATCTTAAAAAAAAAAAATAAAATAAAAAGCACATCTAATCTGTGAGTAGATTATGTAATAGATTAGTGTAAGGCTTCAAGAAAAAGGCTGAACCAGGAAAAAGTATGTATGAGAAATATTTATGAATGTGTCTCAGCATACATTAGTGGCAAACATAAGTGATTTTTAGATAAACATAGGTGAATAGAGGCATAAGTATGGATAATCAAGAATTGACTATATTCTTGGGTCTGTTTCATAGGAGCAATTGTGAAAATAATGTCAGTGAGGCCCTTAGCAGCCATCTAATTCTTTAGAATATTAATGACATTCTCTATACATCTACTTTATATATCTAAAATATGACGTGAAATATTTGGATATCCCAGGCCTGAATTCTCAGACCTCTGGAAGCAAGTCCCTCATGCTGCTTGGTTTTCTGATGGTTCTGTATTCCTCATTATTCTAGGTGGTTGTTGAAGAAAGTGTTGTAAGGAGTAATGGATGCTAAGTGTTTCCTAGTACTGTGTTACTCCCCTGGTCTCATATTCTAATAGTTCTGTTGGTATGTAGTATGTTACAGTGAAGCCCAGCCAGAGCCAGGTACTCAAGGGCATGTTCCTGCCATCCTGTTCAGGCTGCCACACCCCACAGATCGAGCAGGCTGTGGGCATCGTGGGAGCTGTCATCATGCCACACAATATGTACCTGCATTCTGCCTTAGTCAAGGTGAGTATGGCCCTTATATCTGTGTTGTCCAGATAGTTTATGTTTCCTTTAGTTGCAGGGAACACACACTTAGTTGAAAAGCATAAGAGCCCTAAAGGAGAGAAAGGTTTTTCCACGGTTGGATGTTTATAAACTTTGCACACTCAGACTCTGTTTTTGTCACAAAGGTGACCAGAAATAAGTGACCCCACAGAGAAACTGGGACTAAAATTCTTCATAAAAGGTCCAAAAGTGCACCAAATCTCGTGTTTAAATCCCAAAAGATTAAAAAAAAAATCCCAAGAAACTGAGTGACCTTGAGGAGATCAGGAGTAAAGAGCCCAACCAAGGTTTTATCAGTCATCTTATACAATAGTTTGCTGGGAGATCTCAGAGACCTTTATAATTAAGGTTGTTAGGACTGAAAATCAGGTGGTTTTTTAATGTCAGTGGTTCTTCTAGCCACAGTAACTGAGAGCTTAGTAGCACATAGTCATCATTTCCTGTTTGAGGAACGTGCAGTGTTGTCAGAGGGTCATGAGGTCCTTACTCACTTACTGAGCCAGGATGTAAGTAAGTTTTTCACATTTCTTGTGAGAAAATGTCAGTTGTTTGCCCTCTAAATCTTTCAGCTAACTCCAAACTTATGAAATAGTACAAGGAAACTTGTTCTAACTAATCAAAAAATGACTTTGACGTTTATGTCTCTAGTCCAGACAGGTAAACCGAGCCAATAAGCAGGAAGTTCGAGAAGCTAATAAGTACTTTTTCATCGAATCCTGCATTGCTCTCTTTGTTTCCTTCATCATCAACGTCTTTGTCGTCTCAGTCTTTGCTGAAGCATTTTTTGAAAAAACCAACAACCAGGTGGTGAGTAAGCCAGGGTCATGAGTGGTAGTGAATGTGAGGGTAGTGAAGGCCGGAAGACAGGAAGAGTGACAGAGACTTGGAGCTCAGGGGAAACAGATCTCCAGGTTCGGGGCTGCCCCCTCATCATGGCACTAGTCAGGGTCCAGAGTCTGGGGATAGGCCAGGCCTGGACCCATGTTTCCAAGCTATTGGCTCTGAAGGGAGTTTGCCTCAGAATAAAGATTGCCTCACGCTGTTCTGTTTGTGCCTTCATGTCTGTTTGGCTCTTTGTCATCATCCCCTTTTGTTTCCTGTTTATCAACTGCCAGCCTGCTTGCCAGTCTTGCATTTGGAGATGAGGACAGGGAGGAGTCAACAAACAGAACACAGAAACTGACTAAGATATACTCTTTTGTACTTTTTTTTTTTTAAAGATTTATTTATTTATTTATTTATTTATTTGACAGAGATTACGAGTAGGCAGAGAGGCAGGCAGAGAGAGGGGGGAGGAAGCAGGCTCCCTGCTGAGCAGAGAGCCCGATGCGGGGCTCGATCCCAGGACCCTGGAATCATGACCTGAGCCGAAGGCAGAGGCTTTAACCCACTGAGCCACCTAGGCACCCCTCTTTTGTATTTTGAATACTCTATTGTCTTGATTCCTGATGGCCTATCTATAGGATCTCTGACTCCTGGCTCTGCTATGACTAAGGAGTCCTCTCATATTTCTTAAGGACCCTCTCCTCCTGCCATCACTTAAAGCGAGCCAGCATTCATGTATTACCATGCACACTCTTTTTTTTTTAAGATTTTATTTATTTGACAGAGACACAGTGAGAGAGGAAACACAAGCAGAGGAAGTGGGAGAGGGAGAAGCAGGCTTCCCACCAAGCATAGAGACCGATGAGGGGCTCGATCCCAGGACTCTGGGATCATGACCTAAACTGAAGACAGACACTTAACAACTGAGCCACCCAGGCACCCCACCATGCACACTCTTAACTCAGTAAATATTTTTGATAGCATGAGGGTGTAGAAGGATTATGGAAGAAGACCGTAAGTGCCATTACTGCCAATCCCTGCTCTCATTACAACCTGTATCCAGTGTCTTAACTTCCAGCCTGTGTCTCCTAGATGACTTGCATGTGACCTGTAGTTTGTGATCTGTAGGAATGCTCTTCTGGTCTGGTCCTTGCCTCAAAAGTAAAAGTTGCTCCTAAACTGCTTTGTGTTCCAGATTGCAGTCTGTAGAAATAACAGTAGTCCCCACACTCACCTTTTTCCTGATGATAACTCAACACTGGCAGTGGACATCTACAAAGGGGTAAGCCTTTTCAGATTTGTAATCACTGCTCCTGAATCAGTATTCTTGGCATAGTATCTGATAATTTTCTGTGGGTTCACTTCGGAGCTGAAACTGTCGTCTCTGGAGTGTCATTTACTTCAGAGGTCTAGGTGCCAGGCAAGCATTTTTGGATTATGTGGGAGGGAATAGAAGATCAGCTAAAAGATGAACTGTAGAGTTATGGTGGTAGTATAGTGTTTTATAGGATGTTAACTGGGGGAGACTAAAGAAAGTGCTCCTGGTAAAGTATTCTTTATTGGGACCTCTCAGTCCCTTTTATGCTGGTTACATTATGAGCCTCCCCAGAGTAGAATGCATAATTTATGTAGTATTTCCCAAATGTATTTGACCTTTCTCTTCACTCTTGTTACTATCTTCCAGAATAGTGTGTTAAGTAATATAATTTGGGAATTGTTGTGTAGACTTTCTTTTTTTTTTTTTTTTTTAATTTTAAACATATTTAAGATGTAGGTTGAGGATGAAGGCTTTAGGAACTCGGAGAAAAGACTTAAGCAGAGGAATGAAGGAGTATCCAGCAAAATTTAGGTCGAAGGCCCCTAAAATGAGGTCAGGTTCTGAGTCTGGCTTCTGCGGAGTAGCTCCCAGCACAGCGCTTGCTACAGAGCAATTTTGTTTTGGTCGTTGTCTAAGCAGATCATTGACAAAAACATCTTTCTCCCTTGCCTCCCCCAGGGTGTTGTACTGGGATGTTACTTTGGGCCAGCTGCACTCTACATCTGGGCTGTTGGGATCCTGGCTGCAGGACAGAGCTCCACCATGACAGGAACTTACTCTGGCCAGTTTGTCATGGAGGTATGTGCTGTTTTGACTGGTATAGAGTAGAGGAAGAAAACATTGATTGCCATTTTGTGACGTCTTCTTTTTTTTTTAATTTTATTTTTTATAAACATATAATATATTTTTATCCCCAGGGGCACAGGTCTGTGAATCGCCAGGTTTACACATTTCACAGCACTCACCATAGCACATACCCTCCCCAATGTCCATAACCCCACCCCTCCTCTCCCACCCCCCCTCCCCCCATCAACCCTCAGTTTGTTTTGTGAGATTAAGAGTCACTTAGGGTTTGTCTCCCTCCCAATCCCATCTTGTTTCATTTACTCTTCTCCTACCCCCTTAACCCCCCATGTTGCATCTCCTCTCCCTC